GAGTTTTCGGGGTTGCAGACAGAAGCATCTAGATTGAACCTATGCGAAAACAATGTGTTTTACGGTGTCTGCGGGGCTGTGCCTGGATTGAACGTGTGCGATAGCCATGTGTTTTCGTGGTTGCGGCGAGAAGCGTCCGGGCTAGACATGTCGGAGACTCAACCTCTACAGGACAGTCCGCCTCCTTCTCGCGTAAGCCTTTCAATAACCTTTGGTTACCAACCGAAGGCCTCCGGCAAGGACCCTGATTTAGCCGCCGGCCCCAGAGCGGCCGCGGGCGGAGGGAAGAGCGCGGGGGTTCAGCGGCCGCACCACACCTGCATCTGGCTTTACCTATTTCCAGGTTCTGGGTTTAGCAGGTACTACTTGGCGTTGTTCTGCCGTTAAACATCAACCGTCTGTTTCTGACAACTACCTTTTTTTCCATCGGTCTAGGCTCCGCCTGGTCCCGCGCGCGCGCCCCCTGGCGCCTTATCTTCGCCTGGGGGGAGCGCGGCCTGTACCGCGAAAAACCCTGACGGCCCCCACTCCTTTCAATGTCCAAAATAATTTGTCATTTTTTCGCAAAGCGCTGGTTGATGGACAAGCCCCAGCTTATACCTATACCGAACTATTCTCAGGAACACGCCGTCTCCGTTCCGCTCACGCTCACGCTCTGGGTGCTAGAACGGGGTCGGCGGATCGCAGGTCAGTTTGGACGAATCGTTTCAGGTCAGCGCGGTGGAGGCAGCGGCGGCCAACGCAGCTGCCGCCCAACGCCAAGCAAAGCTGCTAGAGGTGGAGCATGGCACGGAGAAGAAGTCCTTGGAGACTTGGGAGATTGCCCGTCACACACGCATTCACCGGAAAACACCGGAAAACATCCCAAGACAACGTGAGCATTTGAGAGCCGCACAACATGTGGCATTCAATTAGATGCGGGATAGGCTCAAAAATTGTCAGCCATTGCCTCAAAACTGGTTTGTGGATGTTTGTGGTGTCTCATGTTCATGGGGCGGTCAAGGCTATGTCATCCATTTCTTAACCAAGAACATATTAATTGTTTTGCAATGTGTTCTTTCCAATGAGGCAAATGGCATTCGAAGTCTCGGAGTGATTGAAGAGATGGATTCCAGGTTTCATGTCTTTCTCCCCAACCCAATGTTCTCTGAGAGCTAGTCAGCTAGTCACCCTCCAGTGATTTCGCCAGGTGTTGCTCACTGAAACATCTCTGAAATTACTTGGTGTGTTCATTGCTCCAACTTTCGAACTTGGTGCACCTCTTCAATCCTCTTCATCTCTATCGTCGAGGGAAAACTATATTATATATTCTGGTTTTCACAAGGGGCCCGCCTTCCAGGTCCCCAAGCCTTACAGTACTCCGGATAAAAGTAGGAATGTGCACATGCTGATGAATTTGTATTGTTGGACTGCTTTGCATTTTCTGTTCCTGTTCCATGGAAAGGCGTTTTTGTCATTTCCCGGGTGGTGGGCTGCATCGATGATCGAGGAGATGTTGCTGATGGTCCGGGAGGCCATCCAAGCGTTCCTAGGCAGAATTTGGCGAGGTCGTGGATCCCTTGATGTTTGCGGCGTAACATTTGGCTCAGAGATGATGAGAGGATCCTGGATATATAAATGTGTGTGGTAAGAATGCACTATATGCTCATGAGGGCTTGGTTGGTGTGCTTAGAGGCTTGCATCGGGGATCAACAGGGTGTGTTCTTGAGGAAGGCATGAGGTCTAGTCAGTCTTGAAACCGGTTCAAAGTTGGTTTCTAACTTCGGATGGTTCCCTCAACCTGCCTTGACACCAATCGCATTCCTTAGGTGATATCTATGTGTGACTAGGGGAAGGCAGCAGAGACGCTTACCGACCCGAGGTTCTACAAAAAGTTGGACGCATTGACTCAGAGTATGGAGGAAGAAGATGAGTCAGAGACCTCCGCGCCGGAAAGAATGAAGGAGGACGGTAGTCGTGCTGGGGATTTTGTATGATTTTGTCGGCACGAGTACTGGTAGGGAAAATGCTTCCCAAGCACCCATGGCACGCCCCATGTCATGTTTGTGATGGAGAGGTGGCAGATGTTTGTGGGCGTGCCATCTTGAGCTTTCAAGGTCTAAAGTTGGAGCACGTGCAAGATCACGGTTTGCTCGCCCAAATTAGTTTCTCGGATCAGGCTCCATGGTTCAGGTTTGGTTGTATTGTAGGGTTTTAGTTTAGGCTTACCAGCATCCCATCCCACGACCGTGACACATGTCGTTTGGACCTGGTCAAGTGAAGAATTGTCCTCTTTGATTATGCCGCATGCCCATTGTGACAAAAGGGCTCCAGGCTGGCTGCATGGTGATCGGCCGGGATTATTGCTGCAACATGAGAGCTCTGGGTGTGCATTCCATACACTGGAACATACTGGAACCAGCACCCTGATGATCATGGCCAAGTGTATTCTTGCCAGCTGCTGGCGTTTACCAATCCCACATCAATCCACGCACCACAAAGACTGCTCCCAACGGACCATTGAGTTTCAGGACTCTAACCTAAAGCCCGCGCTCGAGAGTTACAACGAGATGGTGCAGTCCTTTCACCAGCTCTATTCCTTCAACACAGATTTGTATAGCCACCTGGCACCCCTAAGAGGTCGGAGAATCCCTAGTCTTCACGCGAAGGGATTTGGGGTCCGCTGGGTCTAGAGTTTAGTTCAAGCGAGTTCGTAGATCCTTATCAGCCACTAATCCTAGCGAAGCGATGCGAAACGAGGGACAGAACATGGAGGAATATTCACAAAGAAACAAGAGAAGCAGACAAAGAAGGCAAACAAGCAAGGATTAAAAAATGATTGTAAAGCCCTTTTAAGAGGGCCTTACTGAAGGGGACATTACCTTCTTCCTTTTGTTCGTCTCCTTCTAAAAACAAAGGACTGAGCGACTGAACGGCCTGTCCTTTGGGCACATTGTTTCCCATATCCCATCCCACAAAACACACAAGGCACCGTCAAGCCTGCTGTGGTCCAAATCAAGCACAACGCCTTCTCAGCGATCTTGCTGGAGTGCGATCCGGGCGAGAAGCTAGAGAAGGAGGCGGGGCTGAGGCCACTTGCTTTCCAGACATAGACGAGTTGATGTTTCTGATCAGGTGGACCGATCGGACTGGCTCCTGGATCCTTCTATATACACATGGATGTCTAGCTGGCCACAATTCTCACAGGGAATCACACTCACACTCGCACTCCCTACGCGCACTGCACTAGCAACCATCGCATTCTGTGGGCACTGCAAGCTTGGCAAAGAAGCCCACCTTCTTTCTTCGGCGAGGCAGAGAAGAGCAATGACTACCACACCTTACAGGAGCGCTGATCATGAGCAGCTGACGGGTGAGCTTAGATTTATTGTATGCCGAACTGTGATCAAATTGATGGAGATCCCTCACATGAACTCTGCCATCAAAATGTTCCAAGCAGATCCAGGTTTGCAACACAACTCCCTAAAAGCTAAGTCCATTCGCATTTCTCCACGGCTTCCCACTAGGAATAATCCTTTCAGGTTCCTATATGTTCCGCACTTCCATTGATAGACTCAGATGGCCTCGGTTCTAACAGCCTTAAGCCCTTCCATCAACACTGGCAACTCACAACCCGCCACAACCCCCAAGGCTTTGATTTCCCTTCCTGAAAGGCTCACCTCTAAGACACGAAACCGTCAGGAGACGTGCGGCGCAGGGCTGTGGGCTTCGGTGGGCGTGCAACGCTTGCGATTCCCGTTGCCCAACAGTGCCAAGCTGGACGAGTGGTGGGATCACAATGACGCAGACGAGGCATCCACAGGGAAGGTTCGGTATGCATGGGAGGTCCTGACTCCACACCATGCGATGTTTTCTTCCACGTTTGGTGGGCAAAAAGCATGTCGTTGGCTTACTCCCTGCGCGCAAGCGCTTTCGGACATGAAGGACCCTGATCTACCCGACTCACAGCAACAAAACTGGCGTTCCATGTGCTAGGTGTGTTCATCAGTATTGAAAGACAAAGACGTGACAAAGTGGCCGTGTGGCCATGCCTCTCGTTTTGAGGCGCTCCAGCTCAACCCACAACTTGCACTTCTCATCCCAACCTGCAAGGAGTCTGAACTTCTGAGCGATGAGCTTCCTACGGCACAGCAGTGATGAACAGACATTGCACCGAGAGGAAAAACAGCAGGGCAGCTATTATGTGACAGGCGGTGTGACGCTGGGGTCAGAAGGTCGTGACAATGAGCCAGAGCCACTTATTATATACATCCCGGAGTTGACACCACCTGACCATGGATGATGTTGAGGTGTGGTGTGTTTGGGGCCCTTTTCTCCTGTGGGATGGCGTTTGCATACTTCCTTTCTGTGAACCGTCCTTTTTGAGGTCTCAGAGCCAGTGGAGCTATTGTCTAATCAAAGTATGGGAGTTCTCATCGCTCACATGGGGTCAGGAACAGTTTCGGGAGAAATCCCTACACGTGGGTTCAGAATAGCCTGTATCGGTACAGGAAATATATATAATAGTACCGTATAGAGAAATTGCCCCAATTTGTGGTTTCAATTATTCTTTTCGTTGAGCAAAACATTCTCATGATCTCATGTGTACCCTTCCCACATGTTGTCACATGTTCACTCAAGGCTTTGTGGGTCCAGCCGTGGCGCCGAGGCTTTGATTGGACCGGTCGCCGAGGAGGATCGTTCCACCCTCGCCCGGCAGACCCAGGGGCCAAGCGAGATGACGCAGGAGGCGGGGTGATCGGGGCCTGCGCCACGGGCATCAAAGCAGTTGAGAACCCTTTGAGTCTAGTTCTTGTCGACCTCGCTTGGACGAACACAGGTGTTTTGGTGCTACAACCGATTCCCAACAGACGGACAAACATCTACGTCCTGACTCGTAGTGCTCAACCGCTGCCGATTCAGGTGATCGCCAGGGCTTCGGTGGTGATGGGCTCCTGGGCCAAGTGCGACACGGGCCATGCGGAGGTGGCACTGAAAAGGTCTGGCGAGGCCAATGTCGACACGTTTCAACATGATGTTACTATATAGTAGCGATGCACTTGTTACTGGATTGCTTTTGGCAAGTAATTATATTTAGCGTGTAGAGTCTAGAGTTTGCATGTTGACCTGTTTCTGATCGAAGGCTAAAGTGTATGATTGATTATTTTTGTTGAGTTTAGTGGGTGCGTTCGCAGATGTGACACATTTGTTCAACTTTTGTGCGTACTTATGCGATATATGTTATTGTTTTTTGCTGTGTCATCATGCCTTATGGCGGGCAATTGATCAAGAGCATGCGAACGTGTTCGCGCAGTACTCCACAGGTTGCCTTTGGGTAGGCAGCTTGTTGGTGTTTTGTCTCGGACCTCCTCAAGGATTGCAGCGACAACATTGTCAAGGATTGCGGGTCTCCAGTGGCAGAGAAGCTGATTGTCATTTCACGTCCTAAGTATTTTATTTGTGTTTTTATGACCTCTTCAATTAGTTCCAGACAGTTGTTGCCATGTTGCCAACACCTGTTGGTTTCGATGCTTGTGCTCTGGCGCCACCCAAGTCTGCAAGAAAAACATGTTCAGATTGACCTGGTGCTCCTACGCCTGACTGTGGTCAGTGGTCAATGTTTTGCCCACGGCCGATGCTGGTTGAATTTTCATAAATTTTTGAGCCCATGACCTGCTTTGTCCAAGGCGACCGAAACCCAGATTTAGGCCACTGTTGCGCGCTCGCAGCGTATGCTGGCATGGCGCGTGAAAGTGGGATTCGATGGTCAACTGTTTGAGGATTATTTGGCAGACCGGTAGACCAATGAATGTTCTGCCAGAACAAGGGTGAGCACTCACCAGGAGGATATTGTTTTAGAACGGATTTGCATGGATTTGCCAAGGTCATGAGTAATAGAGAACAAGCACCTCTGTAGGGACTTTGTCCTGGAAGCTTGGTACAAGGGCCTTAAGTTTGTGTGGGTACACAGAACTATGCGGGGCATCCTCACGTGGGTCAGTCAGGTCAAGTTTCTTCACTCGTATTGCATCGCACATCGGACTGCATGTAATGCATTGACCGAAAAGGAGAGTGAGGTACCTTAACTGTTTTTCCGACACGGATGGTGGCAACTGGCTTGGCAGCATGAGGGCTTCCTCTACCAGTCCGCCCTGTCGATGCCTAGTTTCCATGTTTCTTACCCTTACCTTCTGTGGGACTATCCATCTGCTAAACACCCTCGGCTCGTTAGTTGGTTCCCCAGTCACCATGTTACACACTGCGCAGGCCTGCATGGTGTAGTTCCAGTGCTTCGGTCGCAGGGCAAGACGAGATGGAAGGCCACAATTGGTTAGTGAAACATAGTGAAACCTCACCATCAAGCATCATGAATCAAGCACAAGGAAACTACTGGAGATGTGCAAAACCCTGTCTCACCGAGCTGCTAAATCATGCAACTCTCACTGGGAAAGAAGCAGATGCTGGTCTTGCTCATCTACAGTGCAGTCAACAGTTCTTTATCATGAGAGGGTTTTCTGCTTTGTGCTCGCCCACGACCTCTGTGATGCAATCATATGCAATCAGTTGAAAGGTTCATGCAATTTATACGACAGGCACATCGGTACGACATAGCCCGAGAGAGAGAGAGAGAGCACGAACAATTCCCTCCACCTGCAAGCAGCAAAAGTTCAAGGAACAGATACATCGTTGGACGGTGATTGATCGATTCAGCCGTTTCAATCCGGATGTTCAAGCTTCAAACAGCTGAAACCTGTTACTAGTAACAAGGGCACCGCTAACAAGGATTGATCCCCACATGGGTGCAGTTGCAGGGGGTGCGGAGGGTACTACGAAAAAAAGTTAGGATTTGCCAACAAACAGCAGACAATTTGCATACTAGCGTGTTTAAAGTTTAAACCAAGATGTGGAAGTTGAAAGACCGTGTTTGATATGTTTGTTTGAAGCTCAAAGCTTTCACTGCGGGAATTCCTACAAAGCGGCTTTGGGGAAAGAGATAGTTTTGCAGCAGGCTGATTGGTGTTCGCATGTATTTTCGCATGCCACTCTGCCACAGTCAACTATCCTCAGCAAATAATTGAGCTGCAGCCAAGTGCTTCAATGGTCGCTGATTCACAGGAGATCATTGAAGTATATTATACTTACTGGGACCTTTCATCTACTCTCCCATGTGGGCACTGGTAGGTCCACACAGAGCGCCGACCGAGGACTGAGCGGACAAGCGGGCCGAGTCGTGCCCGTTTGGGGCTGACGCCCAGCCGTGCCAAGCAAGGCACGTCACGTCAGAGGTGCCTGGATTTGTCACGTCAGGGGGGGAGGCCGGGGAGGTGTACGAAGATGTTCCTTTAGTGGGGGTGCTTTGTTAGTGTGCATATGTGTGCATATTGCTTTTGGAGGTTCAGCTGCAGCTTGGGGAACTCAGCAAAACACGTCTATATAATATTCTTCTCAACTTTGCCAACCGATGCAGTCCGCACAGGTCAAGAGGCCAATTGTAGAGGAAATGCGGTCCCAGTTACTTGGGAAGTCCCCCTCCCTCCTCTTAAGAGAATGGACCTTGACAAGCCGCAAGGCTCCCAGGTAAGTTGTTGGAACGAGTCTCACATCCCGGAATTGTTACGTTTTCGGACAAGGAGCGAGGACGCTACTAGGGGCGCTCCTGGCCTTGACACTAGGAACAAAGGGCATCGCTACTAGGAGCAAGGACGCTACTAGTATACTAGTAGCTGTTTGCTACTATTTCCATTTTTGAAGTTGCAAAGTGAAGAGTTGGCCTTCCTCGAAAAGAACCAGCCAAACCAACAACCCTTTTCGGGATCATGTGTTGAGCATAAGCCAGAAATTGCACAGTGCTCCATGACTGCCGTGCCCCAAAAAAAGCTCCACAGAGAGATGCTGTGCTGACATGCACGTAACGGGTCCCGGGAGCCAAGGCGTAACGATGCAACGAGATGCGGGGTACCACATCAACATCAGCGCGCCCGCTGAGTGAAAATAGCTCGCGGACGCTGTACAGTCAGGGCCTTACCTCGAGGCATGTGATGGAGAGAACTGTGAGTAGAGAACTGATAATGGTTTCAAAACATCAAGTGAATCCACACTGGGCTCCTTCCTGTCAAGGGCACATGACCGTGAGGCCCGCAAGCAATCTGGCTTTAGACCCCTGGTTGGAGAAGTGAAGAGTCTTCTCTTTGAGCTTTGCCACATCACAACCCCCAAAGATAGTATGTTCGCGAGCAAGATCGACCAAGCAAAGGATGCCATGTGGAACTTTTGCCTCATAAATGCCTTACTCACTCACACAAACGATCATTTGGGACTGTTGGATCACAGTGCCTCAGAGTGTACCCCCTGCGCATTATTGTGCGGCTGCTGCTGAAAGCACAGCCTGCGAAGGACTCTTTTTTTCTCACCTTTGAAGTTATGGCTATCCAGGCGGTCCAGGCTATTTCAATAGAGCGGTGGTTTGCCCACGAAGGGTCATGCTGCCTTCCATCATCAGAGTGTAGACTGCGTCGGAGTTTATTGTCAGGGTGGTAAGATTGAGGGTCAGAGGATGGCCTGCACGGGAGCCAGCATTGTTGCCAGATTGCGGGGTGCAGTGGCTTGTCATTTTGTCATATATTATGTTGCAACAATGACGCATAGAAAGAGGCAAAGGTGGAGACAGGAGGCAGGTGAACCCATGAAGAGTTCTCGTCCAACGATCCTGTAGCCAGGTCAGGGATGTAAGATAGTGCTCTCAAATCAATGCTGCACCTTCAAGAGCAGAGCTGCGCACGAGCAGACTCATTATATAGACCACGGACGACGGACGAGGTCCATTTTGACTTCCGCTTTGGAAAGACTCCAAGCTGCACATTGATCAAAGGGTGTTGCTCGAGCTGTCTTTAAACCCTGGACCGCCCAATGATTGTGTGCGTGCACAACGGCTTCGAGCGAGGGTCTCACACCTTCCGGGGTTTCCGGAGGTTTCAATTTTTTCTGGACTTCGCGGACATCTCCGTTGGCCAGGCCGGGCCACACACGTTAATTGCCAAACGCCTGGCACTGGGCATCCTTGCTACTAACTATAGAGTCAGCACAGTTGGCTTCATTGACATACATAGGAGAAACCAATTTATGTAATTCTAGGGAGGGACGTTGTTGTGTTTGTTGATGTTTTTGTTTACCGGACCATTTTCCAATCAAGCTCAAGTCGACACCCTAGCATTGCTAGGGGTGAAGTCCAGCCAAGTCATTTGTCTCAGATCTGCTCAGGTGGTTGGAGGGTGCACACCAGCAGAGCCACTCCCCCAACATTTGCTGAGAAGATGCTGGTTGGTTGGAAGGATCCATAAGTTATCCTACAGGAACTTCAAGGCGGATTTCCCCACGTCCACGTCCGGTTGGCTCATCCAAACATTCCACCTTTTTGCCTCCAAGCTGTGCAGATTCTTTGATACCCCACAAGGCGCATGCTCAAAGAGCATGACCCGCGCGAAGCCAGGAGTTGAAGCACCAGCTGTCCCTGAACCCAAAGAACCTTCCAGAATGTGCACATGCGTAGTGACATGTTGCATTTTTGTCCAGCATGTTTGTCTCGATGTAAGCTACAGGAGGTTCATATGGGAAGTGTTTTCCTCGCTGAAGATAACTTTGCCCATGGCTCAGGGAGATATATCATCGAAACCCAATGGTAGAAGGAAAGCTAGCAGCTAGACTCAATTCATCTAAAACCTGTGGCTCCAGCGTCGCACCTCTTGAGCCACATCCACATCAAGGAGGCACAAGCTGGCTATGTGTTTGGCACACGCTCAATTTGCTTGAGTGATACCACAGCTTACCCCACCAGCAGCGTCACCTCTCACACATTTCACTATTGGCACGTGGTATGGAGGATAGAGAGATTCTCTCTTGGCTTTGGCGCTTGAATCGGGCATGGGAAATGACATGGGAGTCTGACTGGCCGCTTGCTTCAGGGAGCAAGACAAGAATCAATCCAGGAAGAGGTAGCTGTAGA